ACTCCATCCTAGCTACATTCCCAGCCGATCGTGGCGTAGCAGATTTCACCAGCCTAACAATATTAGGTGTCATATACAGACCGTGGAGTTAACATGCGAAAATTACGTCTGAGATCCCGAAATTAAATAAGGAATTACACCGATATAAGCTTGTACGGTCAATATTAAAGAACACGTGTGCTAAACCTGAGGTTAAATGTCATGACCTTCTGTACAGAAAACGATACGCGACTGCTGACAAAGATTAATTTTATTGTGAAATTATCCTTGATACATTTTAGTGGCATTTTTAGCTAAGTATATGAAGTTAGGTCTTTTTTAGAATCTCACAGTCGTTCTACTATTCTGAAAATCCCCCGCTTTAATGGTACCAGTAGGTTAATTTCCGTTTTCACATGAACACAGCCCAAAAACTCGCAAAGTATTTGTTTTCAAATACATTTTATCAGTATTATCAGCGTATAGGTTCGACAAGGTTGCGCAATGCCAAAGTCGTGAAGTGCGCAAACGAGAAGGCTCGTACTGTCAGAAAAACATGGCGTTGCGACAGACGATGGAAATTGGCCGTAGTAGGTTCCTAATTAAGTGCACGGACAATGATCCATAGTCAAGGCCGATAAATCGTATTGAATGAAAACGGGGGACCATAAAAACATTAGACACTCATAATGCACAGAAACAGGTCCTATGAAGGACGCTTATGACGTTATGAAAACACCGGAAGAAAAATTCTTCAGGTCTATAAGCAAAGAGGAATGGGTAGCCCGAAGCACGATGAAATGCCTGAATAGTTTATAGTCATCCTAAAAATATACTATGATAACAGCTTCAGTCAAAATCGAGTCAACCAGCCATGAACAAATGAGTGTAGATCCTTTAGATAATTGAAATGAATACACAATAAAAGGCCTATTATACATAATTATATGATAGAAATTTCGTAATATCGTAATATTTTGACTCTGCGTTTCACAATTAAAAAGACAATAAATTAAAAATTCACTATGCTTGAAGGCTCTAAAAATTTGGGAAACATAAAAATTAATATGGTATAGAACAGCTGATAAAATCAGCTAACACGCAGACAACTATAATAGGTTTATTTTTTTAAAAAAGATTTACTCAAATAAAACTGACGTAAATTATTTAATCACAACTGGAGTCAGTGACCTTTTAATTACGGCAGGTCACATTTGATATTCATATCTGTGTCAACGAGAGTAGAAAAAATTAATAAAATAGCTGACAGTAAGGATAACTGACTTAAAAGTTTTGTTGGTATTCACTTGAAAACGGCAACCAGCTGTTATTTCAACCCACCGCTGAGTTTATTGTAAACATGTAATTACTATTCAAACAGTTCTGTTTTAATTACATTGTAAAATTGTAAACACGTTACCTGTATTATCCCACAGTAATAATTTTGTCAAATATATCATCTGAACAATGGAACAATGCACCTTCGAGTAGTGACGCGATTTTAAAGTTGCACGCCTACGTCTACAAAAACTTTTGTTTCATAATTTGTGTTTACCTGACGATACGCTTAGATAACAGACACATTTACGTCAATGTTCTTCTCGGTAGCATAAACATGTTCCCTTCTCAAATTGGCCAATTCCAAAATCATGTAACGGGGGCCTCGGGTCGAAGATACCAGAGGCAAATGACGCCTAGAAGCGTAATCATGTTGAGGTTATGTTCATACAAAACCTCTGCCAGAAGGTGGTTCTGCTAACAGTGTTAATACCTAATTCTGCCGCTTGATCGCTCTGTTGTAGTAGGCGAGTTTATGGCAGGAGTTGCTGCGGATTGATTACGAACGTGGGAGGAGAAACTCGACAAAATCACTGCGCGTGAATCTTTGTCATGTGAGCTACTGAACGATGGCAGAAAATGTGACCGATGAAACTAAGATTTTATTAATAAAAGGACCATATGAAATACGTGACCACTGTCGTGCGTTACCACTCAACGCTGAAAGAGTACAAACTGTTTATAATTGCTGTACATTTCCTTCTATAAAATGAGGGGAAATAAAAGGAGATGGGAGGGGAGAATGGGAAGCCTCCCCACCCATTGGGTTGGCGGAGGGAGGGTAATTCATACGTAAAGTTGCTTTTCTGCGGCATTGATTACGGAAATTAAAAACATTTTCTTCTTCTCTGTAACCGATGGAAGAACAATATAAAATTTCTATGTTCATAATAAAACCTTCACAAGTAACATACACAGCATGTAAAATGCGTGTATTAAATGCGTGACATTTCTCATATAAAACAAATTCGTGACGTTGTTTCTCTAACACACTGTCCCCAACTAATAGGTCATTAAGCTGTGGCCTAACTGTCTTGGCTTCGCGATTGTCTGCAGATAAATACATAATTGAAGTTTATGGAGTCACTCATTATTATATATTCATATACATACATAGACGAGCCATTCATTAACAACGTGATAATGACCTTGATTTTGTGTGCCCACAGGCTGAAATGTCTGAGAAACACTGATTCAAATAAAAAACGGTCTCGTGGCTTTAAATAAGCGACCGGATTTAAATCCAAACCCCCGTCAGCGTAGGCAAATTCCCATTTTGGTCAAAAGCCTCTCTTTTGTCATGCATTCGATAGAAAGTGATGACATCATCAAAGGTTTAATGAACAATACCGTGAAAATCTAAAACCTTGGTTAACGCTCCTGCTTCGTCGGAGACCGGCTATCATGACTAGGCTTTCAGTGGTTTTCCTCAGTCCCTCTACGTAAATTCCGACATGGTACCTTAAATTAGGCCACGACCGCTTCCTTCCACATCCTTACCATTCATTATTCAGTATCAACATTTCATTCGACGTGATGTAGTCTGAGGGGCTCGGAAGTAATAGGTTGAACTTCGGCTATTATCAGAGCCCTTCGTTGTCGCCATTTGCGTGGACAGAATGTGGAAAACCACAAAGAAAAGTCACGATAGCCGGTCTCCGAGCCGGGATTTGAACCCGAGAGCTCCCGAAGTACGAGTGTTAACCACTCGATCACGACATTAGGTCCAGAAAGTATAAAGTGATACAGTCGATTCAACCGTGTGTCGATACATCCATATATCGATACCTCTTGCCCGTCCATACTTCAAAACGCCAATACTGAGGAGAAAATATACTTTGCTGATGCGAGCCCCTTCTTAAACTGATAGCACATCTCTGTATCAGACTGAGTTCAACGTAAATCCACCCCACCCTTTTACACATTCCCACCTTCGATTATAGTTTCCTGCGTCTGAAGAAACACTAAAAGAGTTAAACTTATGTTTCTGTTTCAATGTCGAACGTCTTCATCACACTGTGTTTCATTACACCCTATCTAACACATTTAACAAGAGGGACTTCGACTAATTCAGATCATATTTCATAATCGTTTTACTCCAATATCATTTACTAGCGTGCCACGGTGGTCTAGCGGTCAGAACGCTGGCCTTGTAATCCTGGGGGTCTCGGGTTCGATTCCCGGCGGTGCCCGAAGTTATAACTTGTGTTGGGCAAGGCCGTGGTCTAGGCAACACGGAGTTTTCCTCCGGGGGCTTCCCCGGTTTCTCCGTGGCATCCCAACAATTACTCCATTCACACACAGAAGAAGGCAATGGCAAACCACTTCTGGATCATCTGCCAAGAACGTATATGAACAGGTCCCAGTCCGAGAAAAGGATGGAAGGATCCTGTTCATATGGACCTGTCGTCAGACAGAACACTAAATAAATAATAAATAAAAATCATTTACTACTCGCATCTCGCAGAGACACGTCTGAAAATCCAGCAGTTACGAATGGCTTCGGTTGAAATGAACACATATTATCTCACGCATACATTCAATCGACGTTTCGTTAGAAGCTCAAGCTATACTTTTTGGCGAAATTTTAATCCGAAGCTCGTCTAAATAAGATTTAAAAATTCAATCCGTACCTCAAAGAGAACATCATCGTTGTCTGCACTGAATATCACACGAGCTCCATCACTCTGTGTGCAAAACGCGGAGATACTGGACGTTAAAACAGTTTGACAAATAGTTATAATTCGGCCTGAAATGGTAAAAGGCTAATTCATTTCGGAAGATTCCAAAAGACCTGTCAAACTGCAGAAAATGGGGTGGTTCTTGCTCACTTTGACACTGAGACTGTCGGTTCAAATCCCACTCGAGGCATGGATGTTTGCCCGTGTCTAATTGTGTTGTTCTGCCTTGCGACAGGGTGATCACTTGTCCAAGGTGTCACGCCAAATATTAAAACTGATTCACAGTTTTAGAAAAAAAATTCTGAATTGAAACAGGCCACATGGGCCTAACTCATAAGAGTATTAATAAGAACACAAAGAATTCCGGAGATAGGGATTAGCTCTATCTAGGGGGCCCAACTGAGTAGGAACCTGAAGACGGAGATAGAGTCCCATCTCCGAAACGTCGTTTTTACGTTTTATATTTACTAGACGATGGATAATATCCAAAAAAAAAAATTATTCAATTGACAAAGAATTCTATCACATCACATCTTAAATCTGCATAATTGTTTGCACCAGAATTCTCATGGATCATTTGTCATTCTGTGGATTACAAGAGACCTCTGACCAAAGGTACGAACACAACCACGAACATCTGTCAACTGTGCACTACTACTTCGTATGTTGAAGATTCCGTATTCAAATTTCAGCCTAAATACCGGCTATTCTGACCGAAGTTTCTCTTATATTTTTCCACAGTCACTCTACGTAAATGCCAGGAAATGACCTTCCTTCCATATCCTTAACAATTTCCTCTTTCAATTCTATAAAGTCTAAGCCACTGATAGTATCACTAAATGAATCATAAATACATCAAATAAACCAAGTGTCAAATTGTAAAGGTGATATTAATTCTCGCTTATAAAAGCTGAAAACATCGGTAAAAACCACTGTAAAATCATGCAGTGTGAAATGGACTTAACGAAGAACAATTCATATTTGCGCATTTATTTACTTCAGTTCTGGGACGAGTTAAAAACTGCTACAGAGAATGGAAGTTTCTCCATTTCCTACAGAACCTAATTCCAATAACTCAATGGCTTCCTCATTACAAGTGGCGTAATGACTTCGTTGGTGATCTTATCTCTGGTATCACCGTTGCTGTGATGCACATCCCACAGGGTAAGAACTACGTTCGATATTAAAAGGAGTAAATTAACATATATTTCTGTTTATAGTGAACTTTTATAACAATATCCAAACTCATTTACATATAAATAATATTAATAATGTTAATTATATTGTTGATAATTTCACAGAAATAATGAACAAATAACATAATACACCACATAATATGCAAAAGAATCAGAAGAAAAAAAGGAACATCCACAACTACAACCTACAATCTACAAATACTGAAAAGCGTGCATTAAAAAATATTGAATAGTTTTAAAAATAAAACCTGAAGATGATGCTGAGACATCGAAACATGTTGTAATATATATAGCGCAAATTGTAACATCGAGGAAACGATAAATAGCGCGAAATATTTATATCAATTTTAATTTTTAACATCAATATTAATATAGTTTGTGTATAGACTTGAAGAATAAATATATGTATATATTTCTCCTTTAACTAAATATAAATTCACGTTTAATTCAAGTGATACTGCAAGTTCTACTAAAATTCACAGGTGTCGTGGTAAAATAACATCCTAAAAACTCAGGAAACAATTTTTTTATAAAAGCCTTCACAAATCACTGAATTTGTTATATAATGATATTATTTAAGTTTTAATATAAATGTAATGTTCAACTGCTAGTGTCTAAGTTTTAGAAAGTATAAAAAATACAGGACCCTAAATCTGCATAAATATTTCAGAGAAATAACCGAGTGTAAGAATGGCGAAGTGTTAAGAATCGTGGATTTTGTTTAAAATCTCAGCTTTTCTCAAAGAATTATTAATCTTCTAATCGTTACAAACGTTCACAGGAATGGCATATGCACTGCTGGGAGCTGTCCCACCCATCGTTGGGATTTATATGGCTTTCTTCCCTATTCTGGCATATTCCCTGCTTGGTACATCTCGTCACAATTCCATGGGTAAGTTCTGTCTACGTCGAGTCACCTCTTCAGATGTGGGCCACATTCGCCCTTTCTTACTGACTCGGAGACCACAATTTTATCTTCTTTGCGCGGTCTCCTTTACAGGACATATTATGAACAGGATCCTTCGATCCTTTTCTCGGACTGGGACCTGTTCATATACGTTCTTGGCAGATGATCCAGAAGTGGTTTGCCATTGCCTTCTTCTGTGTGTGAATGGAGTAATTGTTGGGATGCCACGGAGAAACCGGAGAAGCCCCCGGAGGAAAACTCCATGTTGCCTAGACCACGGCCTTGTCCAACACAAGTTATAAATTCGGGCACCGCCGGGAATCGAACCCGGGACCCCAGGATTACAAGGCCAGCGTTATAACCGCTAGACCACCGTGGCATCACAATTTTATGAATGAGGGAAACTTATTGACTCAATATGGCAATTTATTAAAACTACTACCAGTCAGGCCTACTATAAAAAAAATTTCAAATATTAAACATTAATTTTTTATAATAAAATTGGTCACCGACGAGATACTCGTTTGAGTAATCTTTCAGTATCATATATCGTGATTCTCATGCATGCCCTATTTCTTGATTTGAAGTTACTCATTAAATTGAACGGTTTCTATGACGCAGGAACATTTGCTGTAGTCTGCCTAATGACGGGCAAGTCAGTAACAGCTTACAGCCCCAAATTGACAGATGTAAATGTGACATCTACAGAAGATATTAGCTACAGCCCCATGGAAGTTGCTACAACTGTTGCCTTCATGGTTGGAATATATCAGGTAACTGTAATGGCTTACACCTAATCTGCAATAATTTTCGCAGCGGTGAGTATGAAGATTTCTGTCTTCTGGGTTGTTGCGCTGTGTAGTCTTTGACGTCATCAGACGGAGGCAGTATGGCCTCTGAAACGTCGGTTAACATCGACTAGACTACACGGCACAACAAACCAGAAGATATAAATCTTCGAGTATAAAATTGTAAAATGTTACCGTCAATGCTGTGATTTACATTAGCTACAGAAACACTATTTACTAACTTGTTTAAATATTCATAACGAGCCTGAGACATGGCAATACTGAAAGGCGTTAGTGCTATACCTCTACTGTGACTGCTTCACTCTTCAGTTCTCTACCGTCTTTACCTTAAAATTTAAATTCCCATACAAATTCTAAAATTCTAGAACTACAACATTTTCGAAGTTGGATCCTCTTTCCGAAACACATCAGTTTTATAATTTAGACCAGTGGTATTCAACCTGGGGTACGCGAAGACATCTTAGGGAGTACGTGAAATTTAAAAAAAATATATTATTTTATGATAAACACCGAATAATCAGTAATGTAATTTATTTAATTTATTTTAGATGTAGATTATATACTATGTATAACTTGAATTATACACCAACAACTTTGGGGGTACAAAGTTGAAGAGAAATTATATCTGGGGGTACGCGAACAAAAAAGGTTGAATACCACTGATTTAGACAACAGTTTTATATATTGTCAGACTTCAACTTTAAATATATAATTTAACATTTTATGGCATGCAACTCCAAC